ATCTCACATGAAATCCCTCATCCACTTTACATCCATGCTCCTATTCAACGTCTTCCCTGAAAAGAGAAGCGCAATAACCCTCTACCTAAACCAAATTTCCAACGCAATGTATGGATGTGCCATAGCCACCTCATGCACAAATAATCTAGTCAATCAAACCTTTACCCACCTCCACATCTGAATATCACACTTCACACATCAACACATATTCATACACATACCAACTACACCCATACACAATACTTTACCTTCCCTCAGCTCACAATCCAAATTAATAAACACCTAATCCCATATATCAATAATAAACACAAAGTCCAAATTAATAAACATACAAAACTCCACAAACACACAACACTACACTGTGAGCACCGACTACACTCCTTAAGAGTCGATTAATTATACACAAGGACAGAGGGAGATTGGTTTTCTGTGGTTTATCAGTCTCATTGCACAATGATACCTGATCCTAGGTGAGGACACAGCCACAGCTATCCTCCACGCGTTTTTCCAACAAACAAACAATGGCCAACAATCTGAAAGGAATCGTTTTTCCAAGGAACTTGTACTTCGTGACAGGCTTGGTATACCTGACTAACTCTTCCGGAAGCCGCATTTCCGCCTCTTGCCTTCTTCTTGTTCTCGGCTCCCTATCCCTCTCCTACCCTCCTGACTTTTTAGCTCTTTAGCGGCGGCGCCCTTAGTCTTCGGAGTCCAATTGAAGTCATACGAGCGAAAACTGGCATTTCAAACCAAACAAGCATAAGCGCCCAAGTAACAAACCCACCCTTGAAGAAGCATAGAGCTTAAAACAGGGTTAAAACGCATTGATTGATTGCCTCCATATTCCGTTTTCACAGACCGCTCCGAATATCTTGCGTAGCACCTTTCTTTCAAAAATCGATAGAGCAGATTCATCTGATTTAGTTAGCGTCCATGCCTCTGATCCATATGTGAGAACGGGGACTATCAGTGTTTATTAGCTAAGTACTTTGATAGACCATGATAACACCTGTTTGCAATTATTATTCGCCTTTTTATTTCCTCAGATGTGTTATTATTTTGGTTAACCGATGTCCCTAGATATATGAACTCTTTGACTGCTTCGAAGTTTTGGTCATTGATGATTAAATTTGCGTCAACATTTCCAGCCCTTGTGTTTGTGCTAGTCGCCATGAATTTGGTTTTATTTTGATTTATATGTAACCCCATTCGTTCTGCTACTGCTACTAGCTCGGTTAGGATTTCCGCAGTTCTCGCCCTGGTTCTTGTTTTAATGTCCACGTCGTCTGCATATGCTAGAATTTGGACTGATTTATTAAATATTGTTCCCCTGCTATCTAAATTAGCGTCTTGTACAACTTTTTCTAAGGCGACATTAAAAAGCTGACACGTCAGCGCATCTCCCAGCCTTAACCCCCTATGTATTTCAAATAGGGTTGACGAGTCGTTTTGAATTTTTACTGCTGATATGACTTCACCATTGTCACTTTTATCAAACATAAGTTTTTTGGAATTCCTAACTCATTCATAGCGTTGTAAAGACTTGGTCTTAAGACACTGTCATATGCCGCTTTAAAATCGACAAAAATATGATTCATATCTATGTTAAACTCTTGCGTTTTTTCAAGGATCTGTCGTAGTGTAAAGATCTAGTTATTGGTTGAATGTCCACGCCTGAATCCTGTCTGAGATTCTCCTAGGAACATTTCGGTATAAGGCTTTAATCTCTCGTGCAAAATATTTGACAATATCTTGTATGCTGTATTTAGTAGAGTGATTCCGCGGTAATTATTGCATTCCAGTTGGTTTCCCTTTTTGTGTAACAGGCAAATTAAGCCTAAGCTCCATTCTTCAGGTATTTGCTCCTCAGACCAAATTTTACAAACAATTTCTCGTATTACCTTGGTGAGCAGCTCTCCACCGTGCTTAAATAACTCTGCTGTGATGCCATCGCTGCCTGGGGATTTGTGGTTCCTTAGTTTTTCTATAGATATTTTCACTTCATCTACCAAGAGGGGTTCCACGAGTTCCTCATTTCGGTATTCCAGCTCTATATTTTTAGTAGGTTCCCCTTCCAGCAACTCTCGATAGTGCTCTACCCATCGTAAGTTGGTTTTTGATACACCTGAGTCTTATATCCAGTATCGTTCTTAGAGATTAAAACGTCCAAGAAAGGTAGAGTGTTATTATATTCCTTTTCCATGATAAATGGTATTGTCTCTTCTTTATCATTTATATTATTAAGGAATGTGTCCAACAACTCTGATTCATGAGGCTATATTAATTTTAGACAGTCTTCAACAAATTTCTCAGTCCATTTTAAATTTCAAGCATCTCAGTTAGGATTGACAGGAGAGAAGTAAAACAAGTCTAGGTAATATCCCACACAAAACACATACAAAACCGACAAACTAATATACCAGAAGAGTAGAGAACATCGGTTATATTAACCATGCATAAAAAGAGTGCAAAAGACATATGTGACAACTATCGAGGAATAGCAGTGTTAGACAATATCTCGAGAGTTTACGGAAAATTAATAAAAAAGAGAAGAGGGAGAATACAGTGATGTAGTGGCCGACAGCTTTAGAGCAGGTAGATTTGCGATTATCAAACTTATAAAAAATGGCACGAAACCAAGCAATACATCTCTTGTACGTAGATTTTCAAAAAGCATACGACAGTGTACTATAACAAAAACTATGGGAAGCTTTAGAAAAAACAAACATCAACAAAACTCTAAAAAAACTCACGAACAAACTAAAGATAGGCCAAGAGATGTCCAAAAAGTTTGTTATAGACAAAGTACTTAAACAGGGATGCTGTCTTTTCCCGGGTTTATTTAAGATCTACTTGGAGCAAGCGCTGAAGACGTGGAAAAGGAAAAGCAAAAGGAAAGTGTAGGAATCTTTCTATACAGCATCACAATATATACACTACTCAAACTTATTCAGGAATATCAGAAATAGGGCTTAGTGAAGACAAGTAATTCGGCAACTGAACAACATACTCTAGGATAATACAATTTCGAGAGAATATGAACACAGAATCTATAATAGCATTGTCAAAATCATTGTTATATATAAAAACGAAATATGGCAACTAAATTAGAAAGCTATAAAGACTTTGGAAGCAACAGAAATGGATTATTAAAGGAGAGCCGTCGGTAAATCAAGATTAGACAGAATAAGAAACGAGAGAATTAAAGAAAACACGGGCGTTAAACATAAGGTAACAGAGAACATCAAAATCAACCAACTAAGATGGTACTTCTTTTTGTAATGCCTATCCGTCCATCATGGCAATCTGTATTTTGCAAACTGCTGCTATGAAAAGATCTGTGGTTGTTATGTTGAACCACGTACGTTGATTTTTCAGCCAGGAAATCCTTTCATTTCGGTGTTCCTTATGCTGTGACTAAGGTATTCGATTTTGGCTGTTTTTGTTGTAGTTAACAACTCTTTTCCTTTTATTTGCATTCTTAATAAAACGTTCTGGCTAGTAACGTGGTCGGTATAGGATATCTTAAGGATTCGATGATAAAGCCCCATTTCGAAAGCATCAATTTTATTGCAGGTAGTGTCTGTGAGAGTTCACGACTCAACTCCTTACAACAGATGGTACAGTAAGATGGTACGGGAACGTACAAAAAATGGTTGACAGCAAAATCCCCCAAAAAAAATATTAAACTGGACACCGCAGCTAAGACGAAAGAAGGGCAGGATATATACAGGACAATGATATAAAAGCGAGAGGAATAGAAAAATACCTTTTGAATGAGCGAGACCAATGGAAACCAAAAATCAGAAAACGGCGAAAAACATTATAAACTGATAACGTATGGTTCTAAAGTTTTGGGAAAAATTTCACCTGGTCTGATTAAGAAGCAAAATGCATTTAACAAAGAAGGTCATGGAATTGAAATGTCATCAGTTATTGACATTTTAAACAAAGTAGAATATTTTGGTTTGTGCTCTGCAAAATGTCTTATAAAATTGATATTCGTCGATGTGTTTATAATATGGTTGGGCGAATGTCGAAACGAGATATTGTTAATATTTATCGAGATCAAAACATAAGCAAATCGACAATTTATCGCACAATCAGAAAATGTGAAGAAGGGATGCCATGTGTTAACTTGCGTAAAAGTGGCCGACCGCGAATTTTGAACCATATAAGAAAGGCAAGACTGATTGAAGCAGCTGAGAACAAAATTGGGGTCTCACAACGAAAACTGACCAGAAGATTTCATGTTGGAAAGACTACAGTATACAGGAGCCTATCGAGTAACAATATTATCTACCGGAAAAAAGGAAAGCTCCAAAATACACAGAGGATCAATTAGAGAGAATTCCGAGATGTTTCCGCGCGTTAAGGCGAGTGCATTTCGTCAACAAGTTGATCGTGATGGACGATGAAAAATATTTTACTTTGTCCAACTTTGAGATGAAGGGTAACCATGGGTTTTACACGAACGATTACGAAATCGTAAGGACGAGGATCACAAGGGACTGGTACGAAATTAACAACATTACCTTTGTACCGAAAGCAGACAATCCCCCCAACCTACCTCAGGCTCGTCCAATTGAAGAGTTCTGGGCAATATTAAGTCGAAAAGTCTATAATAACGGATAGAAATAGAGATTTTGACGCTGAGGTCGTCCAAAGGATGATGCAACGTGTCAGGGGAATTATTAGGCAAATCGAAAATAATGGTCCCTTGTCTGTCATTTGAATTTTGATTAATAATAAGGATAGTTAAGTTAAATTGTTAAATAATTTAATAAAAATATAAGATTATTGTGGTCAGAGTTATATGCTTTTGATATTTTTCCCAAAACTTTAGGACCATACGTTACCTAACATGAAAAAAACGAAACAATAGCGATCAGTGGAAAAAACTGTTTCGTGTAACACCAGGAGACAGAAGATATTGAGGAAAAATTGACTTCGCATCATCATTACTTTAAATTAGTTAAAAAATATATAAAATAACTTACCTACTCGTATTTAGATAAAAAGAGATCTTCACAAGTTAGTCCTTTGGATCCAAGCTTGCGGCTTGTATTCTGAAACAATATATTTTATTAGACATTTTGAACTATAAATACAAAACGACAAATTATATCATTGGGAACATTGTAAGAAATCAAATTAATTGATTAAAAGATAATTATTAACGAGATTTTAAATTTTATTGACAATTATAGGTTGTAGCGACGAGAAAATAAACTTCTTCTTCTTCTTCAAGTTCCGTTCCTGTCGGAGATTGGAAATCATTCTGGCAATTATAATGTTGTTGGTTACGTAGATTTTACGTCTTCCTACGCTCCTTCTGCCTTTGATTTTACCCTGCATTATATTCCTTAGTAGTTCGTATTTTTCACCTCTCATGATGTGCCAAGTATTCCAATTTCCTGATTTTTATGGAATTCCAAACTTCGCATTGTTTTCCTAGTTGTTCGAGAACTTGTTCGTTTGTTTTGCGATCCATCTATGATATTTTCAAAATACGTCGGTAATATCACATTCTGAATGCTTCTAGATTTTTAATGTTAGATTTTTTAAGTATCCAAGCTTCAACCCTATACAAAAGGGTAGAGAAAATGTAACTTCGAAGCATTCTTATCCGAAGCGATATATGGATATCGCGATTACAAAAAAGTTTTCTCATTCTATTAAAAGTTGACCGTGCAATTTCAATGCGGCATCTTATTTTTTTTTTGTCTGTATCTTCAGTATCATCAGTACATCAGTATCTTCTGTGATCCGTGCTCCAAGGTATTTGTACGAAGATATTTGTTCAATTTCTGTATTATTTAGTACTAGCTTAACTTTGATGTTTTGTGCTTTTGTAAATACCATGAACTTGGTTTTTTTTTCAAATTCATTTTTAGTCCATAATCGTTTAAATATATATTTAGTGGTTCAGCAAGGTGTTGCAGTTCTTTTGGTGTTCCTGCCAGAAGGATGGTGTCGTCAGCATATCTTATGTTATTAAGTTGCTCACCGTTTATTAAAAGGCCCTCACTGACCTCGACAAGCGCTAATTCTGAGATGGCTTCACTGTATAAATTGAATAACAAGGGTGATAAAATACACCCTTGGTGGACCCAATAGCGAATTTGGATATTCTCGGTCAGTTCATTTTCAACTTTCACTTATGCTGTTTGGTTCCAATAGAGGTTACATATGATTCTAATGTCTCTACTGTCTATTTTTTTATTTAATAAAATTTCTTTAAGCCGATTATTATGCCGACTTTGTCAAATGCCTTCTCAAAATCAATGAAGTAGGCATATACTTCCTGATTTATATCTAAGCATACCTGCGAAAGAACACTTACTTCCTTATGCCTGCATCTAGTTACTTATGTATTCTATTGTGAATTACTTTTAAAAATAATTTCAAGACATGACTCATTAGGGCTAGGGTGCGATATTCATTGAATAGATTGAATAGATCCAAAGAAGATCAATAGATTCAGTATTCATAATTTTGACTAATTCGATAGAAACTTCATCAGGCCCGGGAGATTTACCACCTTTATTTTGTATCATTGCATATTCAATTTCTTCTCGTATAATGTCAGGCCCAGTATCATCCTTAAATTCTTTTGGTGCTTCTGTTCTCTCTTTATCTTCAAAAAGTTGTGCTATATATTGTGTACATCTCTACATTTTTTTATTTAAATCTGTTATAAGTGCACCGCTTTCATCTTTTAGTTGCTTAGTTTGAAGTGTTTCTCTCATTCCTGTTAATTCTCTAATTGTTTTAAATAGTAATATTTTTTTATCAATTTCTTCTAGTTCTTGCCACTGCTCATGTAACATTCTCTCCTTAGCTTCTTTTATTCTCATTTTAATTAATCGATCAGTTTCATTATATTTGATTGGATTTTTTGTTTTGAATAATTTTCTTTCATTCTCTAATAGTAGTATTTATTCAGTCTTTATGTTTTCTTTTCTTTGGTTTTAAGTTTTCATTTGCTGTTTTAATTATTGCTACTTTTATATTTTCCCATTTCTGATCAATGTTATAGCTACTTTTATTCAGTTCTTGGACATTACGTAGATTTTCAGTAAAAGCTTTTACAGTTTGTTCCTTTGTGGTTCCCTTTATCTCTTAATATCAATTCTACTTTGTTTGGGTTTTTTAACCAGTTTCAATTCGGTTCGTAATGTGACTACTATGGGGTTATGGTCTGAACCGATGTCTGTTCCAGGGTATGTTTTGGCAGACAGTATAGAATTACGAAATCTTTGTCTAATAAGGACAAAGTCAATTTGATTTCGGATTATTCTATTCCTTGTATCACCGGGAGATTTCCATGTATACAATCTTCTTTTTGGTAGCTTAAAAAGTGTATTAGCTATTACAAATTCTTCCGTCTGGCAAAATTGTACCAAACGGTCACCACGTTCATTTCTAGATATCATAAAGATAAACTACAAATCATTAATTTCTGATCGTGAATTTTTGTCATGGGATACATATTTTTTGTATATTTAAAAAGCTAATACGAGTTGGAGAGTTTTATCTTGATACTTGTCAGATTCATTCCTCTGTAATTTTTTGGGTTATAAGAAGGGGTTATAATGCTCGTTCTCTGATATTTTTGATAATTTAAAGATTTTCCCATCATTCTTAATTATTTTGTCAGGTGTGGTCCACAATTTTCTATAAGTTAGTTTAATATTCCATCTTTTTTTGGAAGTATTTCTATTTTTCTGTTTCGTTAAGACTTCTTGTAATTCGTTCTCTGTTAGTTGCGTTGATTTATTTGATCTTATTTCTGGTGTGGCATTATCTAACAGGTTTATTTGTCTACCTTGTATTATCTGTACATCTTTGGTAATTTGTTGAACTTCTGTATTTACATTTCTTTCTGCAATCCGTTAAAATCTACCGCATTTTCTCATTTTTTCTTCTTTATTACTAGTTCATGTTCCTCATTGTAACTTACACCTCTAATAAGCTTCTGTAGGGGCTCTTTTGAAAAATCTAGTAAGTAATTAAAACCAAGGACTCACAAATTTATCAAAAAATATTTGGTTTACTGGCACTTATTCAATATGTCGTTCTTGTATTATTAGATGTCTTTTTTTGTAAGAATAAAAGAGGATTACTGAAAATAAACGTTTTTACACTAACTCGGTTTGACAAACTAGGTTTGAAACATTACTAAACTTAACGATAATGTTTATCAAGTAACATTTGACAATAATGCAATGATGCAACACCTTAAAATCCTTAACCAATTGAATCCACTTAAATAAAGTGCAGCGTGACTCACAAACAATCAACACCCACAAACAATGGATATTGTGTAAGGGACGCCGTGAAATTTTTAATTAATCATTTTTCATGTTCAATGGCATTGAAACAAAGTCTAGGTTCGCAGTTTTTATTTGCTTTCTTTCTATTGTTGTAGAAAAGTCTATATACCGCCATACACCTTATAACTTTGGAGTAAGCTTAAACGGGCGAGACGGCATACTTCCACAGTTTAATGAACTTGGGGTCAAGTGTTTTATATTCTTTCGACAAGTGTAAATCACTATTATAGTTAGAATTTGTAGTTATAAAGAATTTATTATCACGTTTCTAAAATTATAAAATAAAATACAGAACAGTGAAGAACAATAATATCTTGACAAAATATTATGATTGGGATTTTCATTATTTAACTAGTGTAAAAAAAACTTGCCTCTCAAAAGATACTAAAAACATAATTCAATTAATACAGTCATGTAAGCCATTTAGTATCTTTAAACCTTGACCTAGCACAATTTTTTGTGCTTAATCTTAATCTACTGAACTTTAGAATACCAATACTTCCAGTGAAGTTGATAAGCGTTCTAGGGGGCATATTCCTTATCTTCGAGGATGTAAGATTAATTCATTTCCTTCGTAAAAACATTCAAATCTATTTGCAGAACACATTAAGTGCATATACATAGTCGCATAGTTCTGCTGTTTCTTCTCTTTTTCACAGGAACGACTACGGTGCTGATTGTATTGAGGTGAAACTTCAGACAACAGTGTTAGATAAGAATTATTGCCGATTTAATGTCTTTTGGTTGGGGATGAAACAACTATCTTTGAGGGATTCTCCTCCTCAGTCCTAATCCCTTTTGGGATGTGGTGACACCATCAGGCCTTTACAGTTTTTTTACGATTTTCCTTCATCCTTCTCTGTCCTGGGGTAGTTGTTCGGCTCATGTAACCTTTGGTTAATCAATATTTTTGTTTGATCTACCCAACGGCTTGAAGATCTTTGATTTGCATTCTGGGATCATCTGCATATAGATTTTGACAATATTTTCTCCATACCTCTGCAATCCCTTTTTCGTCATTTATAATATGTTGGTTTTGATCCATTATTGTTTGGGTGATTGGTTTAAATTCCCGGGATAGATATCGGACTTTGTTATATAGTTCATGGGATTCATACCAGTTTGCATGTATGTCCAGTTCTTCGCAATCTTAATTTATATGTTTATTTTTATCATCCCTATATGCTCTTTTAATTTCTCTATTTAACCTTGCTAATTCGTTTTTGTTGCTGTCATTTTACTATATGAGAGATTTCGCTCTTCGAGAAGTTGCAGCGTTCTGTCTGTCATCCAGTGTTTTCTTTTGATGATTTTTTTTTAGCTCTGGTTCTTTCTACAGAGGTTTCTATGGCATTTCTGAAACCTTTCAACATTTCTTCTGGGTTGTCTTGTGTGTTTAATATACTAGTTTCCTTTAATGCATCTCTAAATGTTTTCGGATTTAAAATTTCCAGCCTGATTTGATTTTGGTGCGGCATTGTTCTTTTTAGCTTTATCTTGAAGCAAGCAAATAAAAAAAACTAGATCAAGGATAAGCTATCTTATTAATAGTATTTACAACGATACGGGAAACTCGGAGGTTAAAGATGTTACACGTATAAACCAAGAAGGGGAAATATTTAGATTAGATCTTCCAAAACTAGAAGTAGAGATATCAGCTAAGGAAGTGATCGCTGGTCAAAGCTCTGAACAACCACAGAGCCTGAACAACCACAAAGCCCCAAAGAGCA